CTGGAAAGACTTACATAAACTGATGCTGAGTGAAGTGAGCGGAACCAGGAGAATGTTGTACACAGTGACAGCAACATTGTGTGATGACCAACTTTGATAGACTTAGCTCTTCTCAGCAATACAGTGATCTAAGACAATTCCAGAAGACCCATGATGGGAAATCCACATGCAGAGAAAGAACAATGAAGTCTGAATGCAGATTGAAGCATACTATTTTCTCTTTTTCTTTCTTATGGTTTTTTCCTTTTGTTCTGATTCTTCTTTCACAATATGACTAATGTAAAAATATGTTCAATATGATTGTATGTGTACAGCCTGTATCAGATTGCATGCCGTCTTAGGGAGGGTAAGTAGTGGGGAAAATTTAGAACTCAAAATCTTATAAAAGTGAATTTTGAAAACTAAAAACAGATTAATAATTTAAAAAAAAAAAGAATTCTAGGGCAGGTAGGTGGCACAGTGGATAGAGCACCAGCCCTGAAGTCAGGAGGACCTGAGTTCAAATCTGACCTCAGACCAAATACTTGACACTTGTGAGCTGTGTGACCCTGGGCAAGTCACTTAACCCCAGTTGCCTAAAAAAAAAAAAGGCTATTTTGGATCTGATTCTTCACAGCAAAGAGTAACTGGTCACTTGGGTGGAAATGATTGCAACCTTAGGGTATGGAAACCTTTGCTACCACCAAACATTTTACTATGAATATCTTGTTATATGTTGGACCTTTGATCTCTTGGGCCAATAGTATTTAAAACTTTAGTAATTTTTCTTACATAATTCAAAATGGAATAGAGTATTATTATAAAGTAAGAAATCAAAAATGAGAGAATTCAGAGAAAATCCCTCTCTGTATATGAACTACATGTTGGATACTAAAAAATGGCAGATGTGATTCCTAAGCCATTGTCAGTAATCTTTGAAAGTCATGAAAAACAAGAGAGATATGACGGGGTCAGAGGGTAAATGGCCTGATTTTCTAAAGAGGAAAGAGAATTGAGTCTGTATAGACTTATAGGCCAATGAGCTTGACTAGTTAGTTCCTGGTAAAATTCTAGGATATGTTATTAGAGGGAATGGTCATTGAACATCATCCTGAAAAGGAAACAATGATCATAAAAGCCATTATAACTTCATTAAAAATAAAACAAAGTATGATATACTAACCTCGTTTCCCTTTTTGACAGGGTTATTATTAGACTGGTAGGTCAGAGAAATGCTGTAGATACAGCTTACCTGGATTTTAACAAAGCGTTTGCTTTTCTTATGCAGTCATGGATAAAATAAAATTATGTAGGCTAGATGATAGTATTCAAAACTAGTCAAATAGCTGAACCCCCAATTTAATGTCTGTCCTTTACTCCAGTTCCATATGCTATTGATATCTCCACTTTGATGCCCCACAGCATCTCAAATTCAGTATGTTTAAAAAAAACAGAACTTATTTCTCCTCCCTTAAACTTGCTGTACTTTCAAACTTACTTATTCTCATTGAGGATGCCGCCATTGACCCAGCTGTGCAAACTTGGAGCTGCCTTCCACTTTTCTGGCTCCCACAAGCTCTATATCCAGTTGGTTAATAGATCTTATAAATTCTGTGTCCACAACATTTGTTCCCTTCTCTCTACACACATGGCCACTATCCTTGTTCAGACCTTTATCATTTCTCATTCAACTATTGCAAACTTTTAATTGTTGTCTCTGACTCCAGTTTCTCTTCTCCCTGCTGAATCTTCCAGTCTTAAGGTATAAATTTGCTCCCTTGTTCAAAAATGTTCAGTGGCCCTCTTTTGCCTCTTAAGATAAAATACACACTCCTCAGCCTGTCGTTGAAAGCTCTCTATCATTTGACACCAGCCTGTATTTTCAGGTTTATTTTACTACTCCACTTTCTGCACTCTGTTCCCTAATGCTGTTCCTTCAGCTCTTCATTCCATCACCTCCTTCCATGCCTTTGCAGGAGCTATTGCTCATCCTTGAAATGCAATCTATCTTCTCCTCTACCTCTTAGAAGAATCTTACCTTTTAGCTCAGCTGCCATATCCTATGCAAAACTTTTCCTGATCCTCCCTCTCCCTCTTCAAATTATCTTGTATTAATAATGTGTAAACATGCAGTATTTCCCACCAAAATGTAAACTTCAGGGGACCAGGACTATTTTTTTTTGTCTTTATAGCTTCAGCACCTAGCATTGTGCCTTAGACCTAATAGCTACTTAATAAATGTTTGTTTAATTGAATCTTGGCCTTAATTCAGCAATGATCTGCTCCATCACGAGGAATAAACTTCTTCATCCTCGTTGTGATCACCAATCACCTTTGTGATCACCAGTCCCTCTATTTCAATGAAGAAGAAAAGCTTTCAAAAGAATACCAAGCCCCAGCAGCCCTGGACTAGGTCCTAGAACAATAATTGACCTTGGGGACACTAGGGCCTACCTTGTCCCTCGTGTTTTCCAAGGGATATATCTTTCTGATATACTTCATTAGAGATACCTCTCACCTCCCCAGCCCTCTGCTTTCCCCACCACCAACAGCCCAGGGGAAAAAAACAACGTGACTGAATAATTAGGCCATGCTGGGTAGCCTACTACTGATTTTTTTATAATTCAGAGCTGACAACCATGCAAAACATTGCAAACCTGTGTTGGCTACAGATTTAATATGTTGTCCCACCCACACAAATAATTCATGCTTCTGCATTGATGTCCAGAAAAAACAAATCAACGAAATGCTGAGCTTCTTCGTGCAGAGTGGCCACATTTCCACTGATGTAGTGCACCGGAAATACCCAGACTCCAGGACTGCAGAGCTAGCATTTTGTGATTTAAAAAAAAATTTTTTTTACGTGAAAGATAAAAGTGCATTTTCAAATGATTGAAGGTTGGTGGGAGGTGTAAATGTGGGCACTTGTCACATTAATTCCTCCGATGATTAAGTTCTTTTTCATTTCTTTAAAGCTGTTTGTAGTTGGGTTTGATGTCCTTGTTCTGGGGGAGTATGTTGTAGCAGTTACCAAGGTGACTTTAGCTGACTTTTCAACAATTTTCTCCCCTCCATCTTGAGATTTCTAGATGCAGCCTTGTATGTCGTTGATTCTTCTGTCACCCCCACCTCCCTGTGACTATTAATCTGCATTCTCATTTGTGCTAGAAGATAGTGAATTCTTGGAGTGAGGGATTCTACATTCATGGAGTTCCATGATCCCAAGCCCAAGCTCTAATAATAAGAAACAGAAGACCAGGGTCTTAGTGGGACCCAGCCCAGAATGCTTTTGGTCTCAGAGGAGGCCACGCCTAAAGCCCTTCATCTTGAGACATCCTGTAGTTTTCATGGGTTACTGTTATACTTCTTGAACTGAAGGCAGCTTTGATGTTTCTCCAGTTACAAATGGAGCTCTCTGCAATCAGGTTGGGCAGAATCAGGATGCCATCAAACTTAGAGTTAGTAGTAACAGTACTGTAGTACAAAGAATACTGGGCCTGGGCTCAAGACCTGTCTTTGTAACTAATTCTCTGTGAGACCTAGAGCAAGTCATTTTCCTTCTCTGGGCTTCACTTTCCTCATCTATAATCTCTGAGAGGCCTTCCAGCTTTGATATTCTGTGAGTGTCTTGGCTCTATTGCTGAGCTATTTTAATGATCTGGTCAGAGTATATACTGAAAAGAAAGAGGTGGGGAGGGTAATTATGGAAAAGGCTGCTTCAGACTAGTTTGTCAACGACAAGCCAAATCATAGTATTGAGACTGACCAGAGAGATTGAACATCATATTATTTATGTAGCAGAGTAAACCACCTCACTTTGCCAGTGGTAAATTCTTTGAAATTTAGTGTCATCTTCTATCCTTACACTTTCTGACTTCCTGTCCTTCTTCCCAGGCCTATTCCCTTACCAACATGGCTTACTTCAGCCATTGCTCCTGCAGAAAAGCCAAGAAGCTTTTGATGATTCCCCCCCCCCCCTTCAGCACTTTAACCGCTGTGGTCACACATAGGGATATTTGGTCTGCTTTTCCATGGCTGGCAAGTCCCAAGATTCTGGGTGGCTCTTGAAGCTGGTATGATAAATAAATTGAGCTTTTCACCCAGCATTTTGATAGACACTTGGGTAATTGTTTTGAAGTTCACAGTCCAAAACCAGAATCCGGTCTTTTGAATGGTGTCAGTGGGTAACCAACAGTTCTGATTAAGTGCTTTTGAAAGGTTGTCAGAGCAGCTGAATTTGAAAGAGTAAACGTTACTTTGCAAATGTACCCAGTAACCCAGCTGTGGGGAGCACAGGGTTGGGAATTGGGATAGTAGCATCCACCTCTGACTTTCAGCAGGGATCAAGAAGAGAAGAATCCTCAGACCAAGCACCCCACGCCCTGTGAAAGCTGGACTATCTTTGGGAGGACATCTGGTATTGGGTGGTGAAATGGGGCTAATGGAGAAGTCTCAGTTTTGCTATTTTGCAGTTGACCCCCAAAATTGTTCTGTCTAGCCAGAGGCCTCTCATCCTTACTTGTTCTCTGAAGAGAGCCCCATTTCCTCCCCCACAGTGAGGATTGTATCATTTCCTGGCCAGTTAAGGGATGTTTATGTTGCTGTAGCTCCCTGCCCATTGGGGGTTGGGGAGCACAAGCAGGGAGAATTTGTGTACTCAAAGCCAAATCACACGTCCCTGACACTTAGGGGTCAACTGGAAGGAAGTTCTTAGAATTTAGTCTTACAATACACTCCCATCCCGACCTTGGTGAAATGGAAGTCTGGGGTTCTTGAAAGCTTTTGTTGGGATTTAGAGGAGAACACTAGCCACTTTGGCACAATCTGAAACCAAGTCCAAATTTGTGGTGACAACCTGCCAGATTGTTCGTTTTTCTACCCCAGGGAGGCCCCATTATACCCTACTGTTGGGTTATATTTGATTACATCCAGTATGAAGCAACCTTGCCTGTCCCTCCTTTCTCTATAAAGTACTGAAATTGCTAGTGTTAATCTGTGCTGAATTTGTGTTTGTTTCATAGGAGTCGCAAGGACAGTTTAGAAAGCGAGAGCTCAGCAGCTATTATCCCCCATGAGTTAATTCGCACACGACAGCTTGAAAGTGTACATCTGAAATTCAACCAGGAGTCTGGAGCACTTATTCCACTTTGTCTGAGGTGAGCAAGAGGCACAGATCAGACCTGTTCCTGTCTGCCTTCCTGTGAGGTTTGCAGTGCCCCAATTTGGTCTCCAGGTGGCACTCTTCCATTCACAGGACACCTCCTTTCTCCATCCTTTCCCAAACCACCACAGCCTGCTGCAATCTGAAATGCGATCCAGAACACTCAAGAAACCATCAGCCTTTGGCACATACATTTCTCCCAGTGAGGTTGCCTCTTGCCCACAGGGCTGGGCAGAGCCTGAGTTTCAGGGATAGGGAGTGGAGGACTTCTTTTGAAGCTTCAGTTAATGTCTGTGTGAAGACAACGTGTGGTCTTCAGAACCTAGAACTGGTTGCACTGGGTCATGTCTTAGGAATTCTCACACACAGCATGATGCTAGATTGGGAACTCCATTCTTCCAAACTCTCATACCATTGTGCCTTAAGGCTCTAGTTTGTATATATGGGAAGACGTTAAATTTGCAGCAGGAGGGACTAACTGGTTCAGGGCATGTTACCAAGAAGGAGCTTCTCTTTTTCATTTTCTGTCAGCCCATGTCAACCATGATCGTCCTTGCATCTTGGGTGGGGGGGGAAGACAGAATAGACAGAGGGGGTACCATTTTTCCATTTCCTTAGCATTTCCACTTCTGTTGCCTTCAACCTATCACCTGTATTAGTCATTTCATGCACTCTAAAAGCTAAGACATGAGTGACCCCTCAGTCCATGTGGTGACTCCACCTTCTCCAAGATAAAACAATTGACCAGGAAAATTGTTGATCAGCCCAGTCTTCTTAGAGGTGACTGGCTGTCTGGCCAAGAAAGCCTACCATTTCTCCAGAGATCAGTTTTGTGAAGTCCTCACCCTGGGAGAATAACAGTCTTTTCAGCACTAGTCTGTTATGGGACAAGGCATTCTGGAAGATTGGTATCCCTTATTCTTGTTGACCTTCTAATCCAGAATGACCAGTTTAAACTCCAAACACAGTGCTAGCCTAGAGGCTCCATCTGGGACCAAGAAATCCAGCTGTGTCCCTTCTGCCACTTACATCAATGCCAGAAAGACAAATTCTATGGTTGGAACTCAACTCACAGTCCCGTGGACAATGTATAAGACAGAATCAGATGCAGCTGGGCTTCTCCACAGCCCTTTGGAGTTCAGCCCTGGGTTTGATGTCATAAAAATTAATAAGAATAACTCCCTGACTCAGGAAATAGTGATCCAGAAGAAGAGGGATACATTTCTTACCTCTCCTCTCCCTTCCCTGCTCAGGCACTCTAGTTGTTGGGTACTGGTTAGTGGAAAAGGTCTGGGGCAGAAACTTTTTAAATTTGGAATTTCCATCATACTCTGTAAGTTAGAGGCCTTGTACATCACAGTAAATAGGAGCTTGGATGAGAACTAGTAAGGGTTTGAGGGAGTAGGCCTGTACAAATTGAGGGCCCAAGCCTAGGAAAGACTACTTCCTTTGAGGCCGCTTGTGTTTGGGCTTGGCTTGGGACATTTGGTTTGGGGATGGGTTAATTCGGAGTAGTGTGATGAAAGAAAGAGCAGAAGTTCACTTCTTTTTCAAATAGTGGTATTTATTCTAGTATTTTACTCTCATTTTCACCCTGTCAATTTTCAAGGGTATGGATTGGGAATAACTTAACATTTAACCAACATAAACTCATTCATGCTTTTATTCAACAAATGTTTACTGAGAGTCTCTTATTCTCAGTGCCCTGTTTGAACTCCTTGGGTTGGTTATTCAGATGCCAGGCCAGATGTGGTAGCAAAGATTTTTTAGTGACAACATTGGGAGGCAGGTGCATCTGATACAGGCTCAGAAGCAAGATTTGTATAGCGGTAAAAGCCTAACAAGTGGAGCCCAGGATAGAGTGCTGGGCCTGGAGTCAGGAAGACCTGAGTTCAAATCCAGCTTCAGACACTAGCTGTATGGGCAAGTCACTTAACCCTGTTTGCCTCAGTTTCCTCATCTGTAAAATGAGCTGGAGAAGGAAATGACAAATCACTCCAGTATCTCTGCCAAGAAGACCCCAGATAGGATCATGAAGAGTCAGACATGACTGAAATGAAACAACAACAAAAACAACCAAGGCCTAACAGATTAGACTCCCAGCATAGGCTCCTGGGTCTAATTTTTTCCTTCTTGCCCTCTCATAGAGTGACTTTGGGAAAGTCCTATTGCTTCTTTGTGCTTCAGCTTTTGTCTTAAAAAGAAGGGATTGGATTAGAGTATTTGCTAGCCCTCCCATCTCTGACAGTCTGTGCCTCTGAGGGCTCAGAACCACTTAAAAGAATGGTTCTGAGAGAAGTACCCAAAAAAGAGCGTATCTTTAAAGGCTCTGGCAGAAAATTTACTTTAGTTCCTGCCTCTGAAAGTGGAGGAGAAACATTTTGTCTCCACTTCCTTCCTAACCATTTAGGGGGGATGTTTTGGCAAGAATACAATACCTGATAGGCGCTCAGAGACAATGCCATTCATCCATCTTAGGACTTGTTCTTCCGGAGCCATGCTCCTCACTTTCTCCGTTTTTGTCCCTCACAGGGGCAGACTGTTACATGGACGGCACTTTACATATAAGAGTATTACAGGGGATACAGCCATCACATTTGTATCGACGGGAGTGGAAGGCGCGTTTGCCACCGAAGAGCATCCATATGCAGCCCATGGACCCTGGTTACAAGTGAGAAGGCCTTTTTTTCTTCTCTCCCCTCCTCCTTTCCAATGCCCAAGGCCCTCCTCTCCTCATCTGGCTCTGTTTCAGAGGATCTAGTGGCAAGTTGTTTTTCTTAAGCAGTAAGTGGGCATACTCTCTCACAGGATGTCCTGGGACAGTAGGTGTTATTTGAGGGTGACTTCAAGAAAGCCTGGTGGAGAACCAGAGCATGGTCCTCACACCACCAGCACCAAGCAAAAATTATTCTAGAGAACAAACGTGTTGCAGATACCAGCTAGGCTTCTGATCAGCCAGTTGTGCTTCTCTGTCCAAGCCCCTCTAGCTTTTTTCGCGTTGTTTCCACAAAAGCCTCACAGATTTGAACTTCCACTTTAAATCTGGGGAAGCAGAACTTTCTGTGCTTTAGGAGTGCTGGGGGAAATAAGTGAATGTGGGAACCATCATTCAGTTAGTATACAAATCACTTGTGTCCCACATATGCAGGAATCCCTCTGGACATTTATCTGAAGCCACAAGCATGGACCGGACAGAGCCAGGTTCTGTGGCATGGGTAGCACCTAATTTAGCCATCTTTCTCCAGCACCACTTGTGGCTAGGTCTGGGCCTAGACATACAAAGAAGGAATCTGCTTGATGTTTTGGCAGCTCCCATGTCTTTATATACTCTTTTTTTTTAGGGGGTACAGAGCTCCAAGCAGCTTCAGAATTGGCTTTTAGGTAGGGAGTAAGAGGCTGTTGGGTCTTTCATCCTACATGCCACACTTTCCCTTCCCTTCCCACCTTTTAAATCCTCTCTTCTGTCTTTAGCTTATTGTCATTTTGGTCTGCCATACTTCCAGAGCCACTGGAAAATGGTTGGGGAGGGCAGGAGGGGGTGCAGCAGGGAGTCATACCTCTCTACCAATAGAGAAAGAAAATCATATATCCTACCTGGAACTTTGTAAACTGAAGCACTGTGCATATATGTCAACTATAGTGGTTGTTGTTATTAACTGGAGTGGGGAGTGACCCTGGGAGCCTTGCATCTCATTCGTTTGGAAAAAGAAACTGTACTGGTTCTGGAGGTAAACAGTATTAACTACCATTGTGGTGGGAAGGTCCTTAATGCTTCTTTGATAAATATGTATGTTGTGTGTGTGTGTCCTCACGCGCCTAAGCTGGCAGTAGAATTTCTTCTCCTCTATGCCCCCACCCACTAAAAAACCACTAACCCTTAATTAAAACAAACAGAAAACAAAGGACACCCTACTGCACAGTACAGACCAAGCCATGGTAGAAATTGAATCTAGTCCTTCAGGGATAGTGTGCTCCATAAATTATCTTGACTTCTTCCACAGTCATTATTACATTGTTTCATAACAAAATTACTTTGAACCATAAAGTTATAAATACATTTTTAAAGTCCCACTTGGTAACATTAGATTTCTGTCTGCAGTGGTGTTGGTAGTTACTGTAGCAAAGGTTCTGAAGAGTAACACTTGAAATGAGCCCCACACACAAGTGGAAGCGTCTGCTTCTGTCCCACTCCTCTTCTCTTCCCAATTTTCCCCTCCCTCAGGCCATGCCCTCCTAGCCTAGGCAAGCTTCTCTGTTCAGCGGAGAATGTGAAGGACAGGGCCTGTTTCCCCTTCCTCCCCCAGGCAGAGCATGTATCCTGGGGGAGGGAGAGGCCTGGTGCTAGAGAGAATATATGTGACACCAGCACAGCCCCAGCCTCTGAGAGTTAATGATTCATAATTCCCAGCAGATGATTCGTGCTGACAGGTCTCAGCAGAAATGTCCTCAGGATAGCATTAATATGTATTAAAGGTTCAAACAAACTTTCTCGAGAGAGAATAGATTTGGGTATTCTGAACATGGAAACACGTTTCATTCAGTTATGCTTCAGAAAGAGCCCTTGACTCTAAACTGGTATTCAGAATTCAGCCAACACTCCTTTTCTTAGCAGCAGGGGAGCTTCCAGGGCAATAAACCCCAGAACCCCCAAACCACCTCTGTGGCTAAAAAGGGGAAGAGACAGGTGCTGCCACTGTCCTCCATTGGGTCATAGAACTAAGTCCTCCAGCCACTGCTCAAGCTTCCATTGGTGGTTCTGATTGAGAAACCGTCACAACTTTGCTGTCACACAGGTTGCACTTCTTAAGGTTCCATTTTCTTAAGGCTTACCTCCTGGCCCTCAGACACTTAATAAAGCCAGATGAGCAGGACAGCAATTTAAGTTTGGACTTTGAGGCTCAACTGCCCCGCTAAAATATCCTAGAGACCCAGTTGTGGCGGTGAGGCTAGGCTGGAGCCATGGACCACTCAGACATGGCCAGTCCTTGAGTACAGGCTCCCAGTACATTTGGGGAAACCACAGGTGAGGAAGGGAGATGACCTTTTTTGGCCACTGAGAACCAGTGCTAGGCTGCTCTCCCAGTCCCCAATTTACTCATAGGCAGCCCCCTCATCAGAGACTGGTCACACATGGCTCACTGACACTATACATGCTCCCCAATAGTGGGCCGTTGCCCTGGGAACCCAGGGGAAGTGGTGGGAACAAACCCATCCGCCTCACTGTATTTCAATAAAGTTGCTGTGCTCAGAGCTGCTTAATCAAAGGCTTGTGTTATTGGACTCATTAGTGTGGTCCACCACAGGGGCCTGCTCACGTGGGAGCTCCCAGGGAAAACTGGCATTCGTTCTTTCTCTCTTAAGCACTCTCTGGCTTATGAGTTGTTTCTCTGGTCCTTTCTCAGGAGCCCTGGGAAACCTTTAGACCCTTCCCCAGCCCATTTCCTAGCGAGTCACCTAGTCCTCCCAAGGACCAAGCAATCACCATTTTTCATGACTGACCATTTATGAGTCCACAATCTTACAGTTGCTGTCACTGCAGATTCACATTGTGGCAGTCTAGAGCTGTAATCGCTTCCAGGTTTGTAGATCTCACCGCAAGCAAGTCCTGGATGCTACAGACTGATCCTGTCAGATGCTCTGCTGAGTTCCTGAGTGCTGGACTTGGAATTGTAAATGAGAGCATAGTCAGTGGTCTTCCACCCCCATGGGTAGAGTCTACCCCACATACGGCTATAGTCTCTTCAATGCTCTGAGTAGAAATAACTGTTACCCTATCCAAAGACCAGGTATCTTATCAACATTGAGAAAAAATGGAGACATTTCCCAAATTGGCCAGGTCATTTTAAGGGATTCTAAGGCTCCTGGGAGCCTGGAAGAGCCTACTGAGCACATGAGGTAAATAGATAAAAACTGCCTATTCACTTGGCTGCTACTTAGGGTTGAATTGGGAGGAGCCAAGGGATAACTTTCTTGCATCAGCCTCCAAGACTTGGAAGCTTCTTCTCCTAGTCTTGGCACCTTGCTTTGGCCCCTAGCCCAGGTCTGTTATCTACTGGGAAAAAGGCACAATGAAGTCTCCTGTAAGAGTCTTCCCATCACTGCCCTTGAAGAAGGAGATAGGAGAAGAAGCAGCAAAGATTTGGAGGAGGGATAAAAAGTCAGGAGGACATGAGGAACCTTTAGTCTCTCTGAGGAGCTCCCTAGGAGGCCCCAGAAATGGTTGGAAAAGAGAGTGTCACAGAACCAATCTCTCCCCCCTCCAACCCTGTTTGACACTCCTACCCCACAGATCACTGCCTCATTGGCCCATACCAAGTACCTGCTCTTTATTTTCTCCCCTACACTATCTCTGCTGCTTTTACCCAACTGCTAAAGGGTGGTGTCCATTCGTTGCCTGTTCCAGTGAAGTGAAGCACTGTTTGTTTGTAGTGATAGGGAGTGTAAAAGACCCTTCTAATTTTTCATAACCACAGAGAGAGGAGAGTCAGGCTTCCTTCTTGACCCTCATTTCTTTCATTTCTGTACTATTCAGCCTCTCTTTGGGACCAGGAAAGGGGCAGGAGGGGGGTGGGGAACAAATTTAACATTATCAACGGGGGTGGAGTGGTGATACACAGCTAGGTGGCGCAGTGGATAGAGCACCAGCCCTGGAGTGAGGAGGACTTGAGTTCAAATCCGACCTCAGACACATGATACTCACTAGCTGTGTGACCCTGGGCAAGTCACTTAACCCCATTGCCTCACCCCTCAAAAAAAAAAAAAGATTATCGACTCTTCAGCCTACTGAGAGTCCTTACAGAGAAGGGGGAAGGACCTCTAGAACATAGGTTGTAAACTCTAAGAGTGCCTCTCTCCAGTCCCCATGCCAGTGACTAACAAACCTTCCTCAAGTCTGTCAGTATTGCCCTCTTAGTCTTCTGTGTAGGAACCTGGCCCAAAGAGGAGGCCACTAGGGAATCAGTTTTTGAAATAGGGGAGCTCTTAGGCCAGATGGTCAAATCAGGCCCATATCCTTGCATGTAATGATATGGTATTTTCCCCAGCATTTAAGGTTTTTGTGAAGCTTTTTCAGTCATGTAATGTTTAGCAGCTTGTACAAGTGTCCCCCTTTCCCTAAACATCTCCCACTAGACATTGAGTCAGAGGCTTGTCACTTGGAAAAGGTTAGAAATTGGATGCTGCTGTGTCTACAGAAATGTAGTCTGCTGTATTAGGCCATATTGGAGAATCAGGTACCTGGATTTAGTTCCCAGCTATTCCTCTGACTTAGAGGTTCAAGAGGTAACCTTGGAAGTCCCTGACCTAAGTCACAAGCCAGTACCTAGTGCTACTATCAAGAAACTAGGTTATAGTACGTGTACAGGTCCTTTTGAAACCTTTAAATATTTTCCACTATGAAGTGAGAGGAAAAGTACATGAAATTCCTCTCCTAGCAACAAACAGCCTCACAGATCTGTGGTTAATAAGGGTGTCTGAGCTCTGGCTTCTGCTTCTAGAGGAAGAGGAAAGACTGGACCCCTTTTTAGACAGTTGTTGATCTCTTATTCTTTATAGTCTAGGCAACCCAGAGTACTAGAAGTCTGATGACCACTGCAGTGAACTTTCTACTACCTACTGAGAACAGGAAATGAAACTTGAGGCCCAGTAGGCTACCTTCTTTCAGGAGCCTGG